AACACGAACATGACTTTTAACGGTGCCTCAAGTCAGTTATGGTCACCTGCTAGAGTTGACAAAGTCAGCAGATGGTTTGAAATCTGAAATCGTAATTTTGTTCCCATATAGTTTCACTCCAAATAGTTACCTATGAAATACGCTTTCTGCATTGATCAAAGGAACACACTGACGGCGGGTTGGTGAAAACCTTTTTTTTTTTTTTTTTTTTACATGTGACCACTTTTAGCAGAATAGTTGCTTATGAGACTGAGACTGGCAGTATTTGACAGTGACCTATATGAAAAAAAACCCCCAAATAACAACGAAGATGCCAAGGAGCTGCGCGGTTAACAGGTAACCTTTATTGAGAGGTCACCGTTAAGGCAAGTTTGATTGTATTATAGGAGTTATACAAATGGATTCCTGCACGGAGATCTGATGGAGGAAATGAATTTAACCCTAGTCTTCTGGATGATCCGATTTCCCTAGAAGCCTGTAAGGCGGCCTCTCAGACCCCACTATTTATCCTTTGTATTTTATGGACAAACTTGGCGGTCCATCATCATTTACAGAAACTTTAACACAGAAACGTTGAAACAAAGCACCCAAGACTACACAAACAGAAATAATCTGTTTAACGAACAAATTTATTGAACTTTAAATATATATCATACATTAGTTGGTGAACTACTTTGAATGAAGTTAGACTGAAATCAATGCAATTCTGGCACTTTTTTCCCCTAATGATTGTGGCTCGGTCATGTCATGAACATGCTGTTGTTATTGCTGAATAATGAGTTTGAATTTAAATGATGATGTGGTAGTTTTTCAGTTAAAAATGAATCTCATGAAAATTATGCCCAAGAAGACTTAATTACGGTAAATGATAATTAGGATGATGCCAAAATAGTGAGGTACATATAGTAACTTGATACCAGTACTGGCACCGAAGACCAGGAGACAAGTGCTCGGAATATGAATGTCTACTGACAGTGAAGACAAACGAGCTTGGAAACAGAGCATTTCCCACAAACTGATGTTCCACAAGACAGGATATTCTGTCCTTGTTTCTCTGATAAAGTCCACAGCGTTTCCTCTTTCTTTGCCCATGTTTAGTGGCCAGTGCTCTTGCTTCTTGGGTTTGGGTAAGTGGTGTGACACCACGGAGAAGCCTGCTCATACGAGCTGACTTAGGGATGTTCTCAGTGGCAGCCCGGCATTGTATTAGGCTAAGGGGAAAATGCACACAATTTGTCACTGTGTACGATTCTGTGATCTGCGGCATAAATGCACCCTAGACGGATTCACACATGCATACCACATAATACAATGTCATACAAGCAATACACAGCATGTGATTTGCTAATAAGTAATCAGGCTCACGGGAGCTCGCGTATAATCAATATTTACTTTATTCACAAACGTAGGCATTCGATTTTGCTACAAAGACAATTTTTCCTTTGTTAATGTATGTTTACATCCAGAATACTCTCTATGTCTCTCTCTCTCTCTCTCTCTCTCTCTCTCTCTCTCTCTCTCTCTCTCTCTCTCTCC